GTTTTGTTGTTCTCCCGCCCTGGCGGGGGGTCGGGCTAGAAGATCTACTAGGTCCCTTCCAACCCTTAATCTATGAATCTATGAATTATTTAAAAAAAAAAAAAGGTATGATTATAAAAAGGACAAGATGTGTCTATACCAGCAATTCTCAATCAAGGAGCCATGAGATCCATGCCACCCCTATTCCTAGTGGAAACTGCCACACTACATGCTTCTCTAGGAGACGCAGCGTGGGGCTGGGCCAGGAACTGGCTGCAGCATAAACCAATGCATTCCTGGGGACAAGATTTTGCTGTCTTTAGGACCCGGGGCTGACTACAGTTATGACAAATATAGGTAAAAGTCAAGTAGATGGCAAGGAGGATTTGCACCTTATAGACTAACACAAGTAGATGCTATACATGTATACATAGAGCAGGTTTCTGTGACCTGAAGTTCACTTGCAGATGCTGTGAAAGGACATGCACAAAGCTGTGTATAAAAAGTAAGTCAAGCAAGAGCTCTCAGCTAGAAGCCAGCCTCTACTCCCTACTCTCTCCCCTCCCACTCCTGCTCCATTTAAGTAAGATGGACTCTGAAGCTTGGTCTGTGTGCCTCATAATACCTTGCTTCAAAGTATTACTTTGGGGATGAATACATTAAAGATTAAAGGGGTATTCAGATCCCATGGGCTGAAGATAACAGAATAATATAAAAGATAGTAGTATCTTTCCAGAACAATTATTATCAACCAGAGTTGTGCCAATCTGAAGTATCTTCCTGTTTATAATATCATAAACACAGTTTAATATTCATGCATGTTTTTCCCAGTTTGTTTTTAAACATGTGTTTCCAATCAAGTTAATTTTGAGGGCCACCCGCATGATCCAGGGACAACAGGGCAGACCCTACAGTGAGAGACTGCGGGACCTGAACCTATTCAGCCTCCACAAGAAAAGGCTGAGGGGGGACCTGGTGACCATCTATAAACTCACTAGGGGGGACCAGAAGGGTTTGGGGGAGACGCTGTTTCCCCTAGCGCCCGATGGCATAACAAGGAGTAATGGGCACAAGTTGACGGAGAGGAGGTATAGATTGGACATCCGCAAAAACTACTTCACAGTTAGGGCGGCTAGGAGCTGGAACCAACTTCCAAGGGAAGTGGTGCTGGCCCCTACCCTGGGGGTCTTTAAGAAGAGGCTGGATGCCTACCTGGCTGGACTCATTTGAGTCCC